TACTTGTACTTCCCTCGTGTATTTCCATTTTATTCTTCTGTATACTTCCACTCCACTGCATTTAGGAGATAAGTTTTATACTTCTTTTACTACTGCTACTAATTCTTATAAACTTTTACTTAGGTAGGATTTCTCATGCATGACATTTACTTGCTTTGGAGTATTTTTCATTGCTGGTACTTTTACTAAAGTAAAAGACCTGAATACTTCTTTCACCTCTGGATGTTAGATTCCTTGTTTTGTCCACCAGCAGGTCAAAAATCATAGGATATTTAGTTTGTCATCACAAATGACAAAAAGCAGCAAACTCTTCAACTCTGGATAATTTATAATTTTTACTATTTGTTTATGCTCTTCTTGTTCAGGTATTGCATGCTGGGAAGGAAGGTGGGGTTGTATTGGTTCCTGCTCAGCCTCCTCATGGAGCTGACGCCCATATAACAGTAGAGCACGCCCCGAACACACCTAGCAGCAGGTAAATCTCTCCTTACATTACTTCTTTATTTATTTAACTGGCTCACTCAACATTTTCTAGTTTCTGCTTCGTGCTGTAGTTTTGCTGAATATTTTCTCAGAGCAAAGTCTTCCATTCTGAAAACTAAACTGATTGTCTCATGATCTCTCTTCCCAGCGGGGATGACGACGGCCTGTCGCAGAGCGCAGAAGGACGGAGGGATGAAGGGAGGAGGAGTGTTTCTCCCGCTGACCCAGTCGAGTCTCTCAGTGCATTCACAAGAAAGGTCGGAGCCTTTGTTAATAAACCCAGCACACAGGTAAGTAATATTTTGAGCTTGGTTTTTAGATTTTTGTCATTTTCTTTACCCAGCGTCACTGAATCCAGCTGTGTGTTTGTGTGTGTAGATAACAGCAGCCAGTCTGGATCTGCCATTTGCTGCATTTGCTCCTCGAGGCCTGGACTCAGAGGAGAACGATCCCATGGTATTTACAAAGCAGAATCCATGACAGATACAGTCCAGTCTTACATATAGCAGTAATATGATTTGACATAGTTTCTGCAGTGGAGATATTTTCTGTGTTTGTGTTCAGGTGCAGCCTCCAGACTCTCCTCCCTGCCCGTCACCCCTGCAGGCCAGTCTTCATTCTCAGGGCTCAGAGGGATCCGGACAGCAGGATGATTTCGTCATGGTTGACTTTGTACGTGAAAACTGTTTCATTTTCTATCAAGGCTCTTTATACAGCACTAAACAGCACATTGTATTTCAATACATAAAAATACTATGACATTTACTTTTAGTCTGAACTGCTTTTTTTTAAAATTAATTAATAAATAGCCTGACATTTTGTGAAATACACTTGCTTGTTTCTTCCTAAGACTTAGATGAGAAGATGGATACAACATGAGTACACTAAATATAATATTATATTAGCTTAGCATAGAAGAAGGGTGAAACAAGTAGCCTACCAGCAGCTTTAGAGCTCACTGCTGACAAAGTTCATCTGCATGAAACAGAAAGTAAAAAAGAAAATGTATGCCTCAAGGACTATAAAACAAACATATCTAACCGGTTACTTTGAGTTTTTGAGGAATACTTCTGCTAAACTAAATGGCTGACATATTTCCCAAAGTATACAAGTATTACTTTAAAGTTTAATTTTGTAGATAAAGACCCATTTCAAGAGTGAACCCACAGTCATTTCTTCACCCTGTTTTTCCTGCTGCAAACTGTCATTTGGATTTGTTGCCTAGCATGAGATTCTGTAAATGTTTGTGAAACTCAAGCAGTGTCTCTTTATCTCTATTCATAGCGTCCAGCTTTTTCTAAGGACGACTTGTTGCCAATGGATCTGGGCACCTTCTACAGAGAGTTTCAGAACCCTCCACAGCTGGCCAGCCTCTCACTTCACATCAGCTCCCAGTCGATGGCAGATGACCTAGTAAACACCTTTTTTTCTGGGTGCAGAATTTAAAGTAAAACTGTAAATGAGTGTTGGTAGTAATGCTGATTTGTGTTCTCCATCTTGCAGGACTCGCTGCCAGAAAAACTCCGCGTCTACGAGAAAAACATTGACGAGTTTGATGCTTTCGTGGACATGCTTCAGTAGATCGGAGGCGCAAACTCAAAGGATGAAAGTAGAGACGGACTACCTGTGAGGAAAAGATGCAATGGATGATAAAAAAAGAATGAAAGGAAGAAGCAGACTGGAGACCCTAGTTGTTTGTCCTGTGAGAAACACTCACACTGAATCACCGTGTTTTAATGTGAAGCTCCTCTTGTCTGACATTTTCCTCTCCTCTCTGTCGTGACCGGCTTGTACAGATCATCCTCTTCACTGTAAATACTGTATGACACTGGCACACACACACACACACATACGTCACTCTCTGGTCTGGTAGCGTTACAATGAAATCTTGACTCTCTGTGTGGCACAAATCTGCTCTCGTCATCAGTGTGTAATCAGAAATCACTGGGTTTTCTGTCACTTCAGACAGCCATGCAAATCCAAGGACAGACCGCCTGCAATCATGATTTTCTTTTTGTTAAACTGTAGCTTGACCCTTTCTCCATCCCTCGCCTCTGAAAGTTTCCTCCACATTATGGCCTTTCTAATCATATCAGAGCTGACAGCGAAAGTTCACCAGTGTTACTCTAGAAGTCAAAACTGAATGGGTCGTGTCACGGGCTTTGGGAAAAGTATGTTCCTCAAAACTGACATCTTGAAAAGCTGGTCTTGGCAAAGAAACTTGCACATATCGTCGCAGTGCCCTGTGTTGTAATTCAAAAAATATGTCCTGCTTACAGTGAAGAGCCGCTCATTCGTTGTCCCTAGCCGGGTGTTCCCAGCTGGTCTGGGGATTTAAACTGCCAATTTCAATGTTAAACTGACCCCAGAGAAATTTAAAGTGAATCAACTGCTTCCCCTACATGTACAGAAAACACATTTCCATGTGGAGGCAATTTGTTGTGGATCTGCGCTCAGTTGCCAGTTAATGAGGTCGCTAAAACTAATACAGCAGCCCTGTGTTATTTCTCAGGCTGTAATTTGTGGTACTGCTGAGGTGTAAAAGGAAAGAAAACCCTCAGCATAACAATACAATTTGCACCACCACAAATTGCAGCCTTTGAAGTGACCATGAAATTGAATCAGCAGTAGTTTAAGTTGCATTAGATTACGGTCGTTTTAGGTTTTAAATTAACTGGCAACTCGGTGTGCTCACTGTGCGTGCTTTTCTACATGCTTGTGTATATTTTGAGACTTTGTGAAAGTGGGATAAACATTTCCAGCCGCCTACAGAAGAGAAGGTAATGATCCATGACTGTCTGAGTTTGGTTGAAAGCTTTAATTTAAACTTTTCTGTTGGTGTAGATGTCCTAATAAAGCATGGCTGCTCTGTTCAAACAGCTGGTGTCTTTAGTCATCTGGTAGTTTACCTGGAGGCAGCCTTCACATGGCCAATAATGACATGATGATCCTCATTCAGCTCAGGTGAGTCTGTGACGTGTTGTTTATCTGTCGCAGGGGAGCACGTGCACTAATGAAGGAAACTCCAAGCTAAACATGCACGCTCATGTTGGCGTTGATTTTTATTTATTTATTTTAAGTTTAACTACCTTTCTGCAAATATTTCCATCTCAAGCTTTTGGTGAGTAACACTGAATGTAAATATACTTTTTTTGTTTTTCTTGCTCGTAAGAAAACCGAGGTAAATGTTTATTTCGACACAGGGAACACGCTTATTTAACGCTTTGTAGAAAGATAAATTTGCTCAAATATAAGTTTTAAAATTCAACGACGGACATGTTTACTTGTCACAGCAGAAAAAGCACAAGTGAGGCAAATTTTTATTAATGTCTGTTGTGACAAAGCGCCATGTAGCATCTTCCTAGCAGTTAGCTTCAAGGTGTTTAGCCTCAGGTTAAAGTAATGGGAACGCCTGTTAGCTTAAGGCTAACCGAGACTGTAAACAGGAAACTGCGAATGTGGCTCTGTCCAAATATTTTTAACAGACTAGCAGCATATTTAAAACACAATAATTAACATTGAATGTGGTAGTTTATTACAAACTAAATGGAGAAAAAAATAAAATAGCAAACGCGCACTGACTTCCTTGACTCTTGTCGCATACTGTTGCCTAGCAACCAGGTAGAAACTCCCAAAATCACTGCTCCTGATCAGAAAGAAAATTCCTGCATATAAATGTTGATTAATATCTTTAAAATATTCACATTCCTGCATTTGTATGGATCAATATCTAGGTCATCTGCAGTGCTAATAAATTATTTTTTCATTTACAGTATTATGTTTGAGGTTTGGAGTGAGGTCAGTTGTTTCCTCTTTATTCTCTTTTAGCTCTGGTCCATCACCAGTCACTGCATGAAATCCTAAAAACACCCATTTGTGTATCAGTTACATAATTAGATTTTGGCTTTTACCATTGCTTCCTGCAGCTCTGTCAAGTCCAAGTGTCAGTCTTCACCCAGCACTCTCCAGTCTCTGCAGCTGGAGCACAGCAGCTCACCTCGGACTTTGCTCCCACGCTGTTGAAGTACTCTATGCTACACAGTGGCAAGATGTAATCTTAGATTAATTAAATCAGAAACGTATTCTAAATAAGAGTAATGGTGCAGAAAGTCCCACCCTGCAAGCTGACAGAATAGGGACCTTTGGTTTGTTATGTATGCAGCCCCAGAGGTATGAATCCATGGCAGTGTTCCAAATAGCTTGTTTGTCTTTAAGTACATAGCTTTTCATGCAGTTTGCATGCAATTAGGGCAGACCAAGTTAAATATTGTGCTTAAAATACTTTAACCGGCGCAGTCTGTAGTGCAAAGTGAGCCATCATCTCTGTACTAGATATTTTCCTGGAGTACAAATATATTGGAACACATGCAAAGTTTCTTGAGACCATCACTGCCGTTTCATGGCATTGACTGCTTATCCTAAATGGGGTCTTTACCAGATACCACAGTGGCCTTGATCTTCTAAAACATCAAACCCATTTAGGTTTCCAAATCAATGAAAATGAAAAAAACAATTTCTCAGAATTCTCAAATGTAATTTTATTGTTGGTAATTTCTGGAATTCCATCACATACCTGCAGGACTGCAAAGGGTCAAAACCATAAAGTCGAGTGTAAGGTAGCACTCCTTTAACAAATAATCTACAATTTATGTTCCTCCGACTTGATACACACTTTGTGGCCGTGACCAACAACATGTTATTGCGCTTCTCTTCAGAGAGCCCCTTGTCATTAACACTGCTACCTAACAGGGCCGCGAACCGTTCAGCAAAACATTTCCTTTTCCCGTGAACAGCTGTCTGGAAGGCTATGGAGGAAAGCTGCTTAAATCAATGTTAACTCTCCCAGATAACGATGATGTACATTTCCTAACTATGTATATTTTCTAGAGTTAGCCACTTAACAAACATGCCGTTACTTTTGAAACATACCCTCTGAGCTGTGGCAGACAGAGGCCATTTCCCCCCAGGTAACACTGGGAACACTGAACGAGAAAAGAATAGAATAAAAATACAAAAGAAAAGAAAAAAAAAAAATTCACAGGAGACAGGCAGTGATCGCCCAGTGTGCATTTCCACCTCGTTCAATTGCTCAGTCCACTAGAATGTCCTGTCCCCACTTCCCCCACTGTGGCCCCTCTGAGCCTGACTGTCCAATGAGTTTGTGTTGGGCGACTTGGTGAATGAGTCCCTCTGGGCGCGGCGGCGGCGGCGGCGAGACAAGTCACACATCAGGGAATGGTTGGAAACGAAACGTCCAGATAGACATGTTAGCGGTGACAGGACAGGGATAACTGTTAGACGCTTTACTTATTCCCACTTCCTTGGATGCAGGGTGAAAGTCTTTGAGGTGGATGGCCAATGTCCTCCATTGTCATTAATATCCAACCTGCTCCCCCAGTCGGCTGAATGTAGGTGGAGTATTATAATAGTAGGGCTGGGGAGGGGAGGGGGGTAGTGATAGGGGTGAGGCCGGCGTCCGTACACACTACAGATCAGAGCAGGAGGAAGAAGAGGGAGTGTATGGAGGAGATCCAGGAGCTCAACTTTTCTTCATGGGCTTTTTAAAGAGCGGGGAGGTGACTGGGGGTTCAGGCTCAGGCAGTATTCAGTAGGTCCTGTATGGCTTTCTGCTGCGTCTCGTTCAGTGTCGATACACACTGCGTCCATAATCCTGCCGACACCTGGAAGACACAACAAAGAAGTCAACCTCTAAACACGTTCACCAACTAGTGACAAGTTTTGACAAGTAAATTCAAATGCAACTTTCTTTTTAAGTCTAGAAAGCCACAGAAAATACCTTCAGTCGAAGCTTCACAATGTTTTTTGGTAGCAAGTTAGATTGTTTTACAAATTGTATTAAAATAAACCCACAAAAACAGACACTTGGCTCTTTCTGTGCCAGGTTCTACACTGCGTAAACAATGACTGAAATGCCACTATAGAACACCTAGTGCTTTAAATCGTAAGTGAAAAGAAAGTAGTTTCCTCGTACGTCCTCAAACCCCGCTGTGACCCAAATCCAGATATAGTTCCTTACAGCGACAGAGTGATTGCTCACCTGGACTTGACGGATGACATTTGCGAGTCGTTTGCTGCACGCGTCTTCACTCTTGACCGATTCGTTTGCGACCCCGTCGGCTATGATGAGGAAAATTTTAGGAAGGTTGGCGTTGTCTGGCCCAAGAACAATGGGGTTGTTGCTGTGAAAAGAGGATGACAGTCAGCAGGGAGAACACTTAAACTGTAAGAAGTAATGGCAAAAAATAAGTTAACATAAAAAATCAAGTGGCAGCATCCTACCTCTCAATGAGGTCGCACAGGAAGTCAAACGTGTGCACGGCCTCCTCTTTGTCCTCGTTGAGCGGTAGCCAGCTGAGCCAGTGAGGGAGGATCTCATTTACGTTGACACACTCTGGCCGAAACCTCATAACCTTTCCAACAGCTGAGATGCAGTTCTCTGTAGCATTGACGTTCTCCTTTGAGCGAGAGTCTGCTGCTTGAATGACTCTGACCAGCAGGGGGAGGGCCTCTGCAACAAGGAAACGGACGTCATCAGGTTGTCAACTCAAAGCAAGACACTGCTGATCATTGGACACCAGAAGCAGTTCATACCTGTGCAGAAAGGGCGGTAGTTCTCTCCTCCATACTGAGCCATGACGCCAACACCGTAGGCGGCAGCCTGCCGAACCTCAGGGCTCGTGTCACACAGTGACTGCAACATTGGCCGAAGGAAATACTCTGCATATTTGAAGGAGGAAGGGCTACAGTGCTCCACCACGTCGTCAAAGATGCACAGACCCCACTGTCTGTCAGCCCATGGCCTGTTGGGACACTGTATAGAACAGACGACAGCTTAGTTACTGGTAAATTCACGAAACAGGTTAGTGATCGCTTAATATCTGTAAACAAAAATACTCACTATTAGCTGGACGATGAGCTGCAGCAGCTGTTCAAACCAAGGCAGCACCTTCTCTTTGTAGCTGCTGAAGACTGAGTGCAGGATGTCTGAGACTTTGGTCAGGATGTACACATCATTCTCATCCTGACAAAAACAAAAGGGGACAAAAGAAAAACCTCCATGAGGGCTGGGAGACTTTTGCATTATCATTTTCAGTAGTTTAGCGCATCTGTAAGGGTTTAAATGCAACAGCTGTAACCTATACAGAAGTGAAAGATATTAACCTCGTCTTGTAATGTTTCCTCGACTTGCTCGTCATAGTCCTCATCCTGTCTCTTGGCTGGGAAACAATGAAAAGTGAGTTAGGATATGAATGTACAAATATTTTCTCATCATCAGCTCTTGGAAAATCTTTTGAGGTTAAAACTGTTAGAGTCCTTTGTGCCGAGTTCATTTTATTTGCACAGGCGCTAAATGAAACCGTATTCAGTGGTCGTTTTAAAGCCTCACCCTGTCTGAGCTCCTGGTTCTTAAAATGCTCCTCCAGCTTTCCTTTCAGGATTCCTCCCAGCTCCTCAAAATGCTCATTGTTCAGACAGCCGTCTCCCATCAGCTCGATGCACTTAAACAGAAAAACACTTCAGTCAAGGCACAAATCCAACTCTATTCCTCAACAGCATTAGAAAAATTCAAATTTTTGGGGGGAGGGGGACAGAAAATGCGCAATCATAGCGAGAGTACAAGTCGACCTCAATCTACCGCCGTTATGGTCCGTCAACTCTGAATTCCTGGACTCTGGGGCAGGTAGCAGGAAAGCAAACACGAAATTCAATTACCTTGGCAAAAGAATGCATGATTTCTGACAGCACGTCGGAGTCTGGCTCGGTGCCGATGGCCTTGATGAGGGCGTCACACATGAAGTGCCACATCTGGGTGAGGTACTCCGGTCCTCGAACCCGGGCACACTCCAGCAGCAGGGGCATCGACTCGGCAGCAGCCACCCGCACACGTGAGGCAGTTAAGGAAATACTAAACCCCCATCTTAACCCCCCCCAACTCCTTCTTTCACATAAGTTAAACTTTGGCATCACAAGAGCCTTTTACAAAAATGACTTCTAAACATCTAAACACAGCAAAAATATTTAATCATTTTCAGTCAAATGGCGATGACATTCAGTTTAAATACCATCATCCTTCTGGCTGTTGGAAATAGTTGAGCTAGTCCATGATAAACAATTCTACATACTGATTACCATCTGCGATACTTGGTCGTTGCCAGTTTTGGCTGCCAATCATAGCGTACGTCAAAACTCACAACAAAAAGGATATCATCATGAAAGTAGAACTTGAGCAGAGGAACCATCAGCTTCACCACCTGCTCCGTGTATTCCACAAATCCCTCCTTTAGCTCTTTGGCATAACACACCTGGAAAGAAACGGGATATATAATGTGTCAGTAACAGGGCTAGTGGCAATCTCAGTTTAATTGTGGACAAATCATGCTTTCCATCGACAGACATTTTATCTGATCTTTTCTTAACAGTTTCTCTGGACTTTAAGATGCTTCTCGACTCACCAGCATCTGACAGGCAGTGGCTTTCTCCTCGAGGCCGGCTGTCTTAATGCCAAAACTCTGCTGATCTCCCAGGTTGACAAACTCCCAGCCGTCATCCTCTGATATGTTCTCCATGTCCTGAGCTGTAGAGGAGACGTGATCAATCCTGTATCTTTGATTTTGCATCAGTGCCTCCTCATTCTTTAGTATTAACAGGCACAATCCCAGCAACAGTTGGTTGCAATTAGTGCAATAATTTTGCCATTTTACATGCAAGTATTTTACAAAATTGTGATTGATAATATGTTGACACTGCTAATAGTCATAAAGAATCCAACCACTCAGCCATCATGTGCTTAAAAAAAGTCAATAAATATGACAGTGGTTTAACTAAAACTTAAATGACATCATTCAACAAAATCTGTGCTGTAAAGTCACAGTAAACATGAGCTAAATAAAGTATTAGGGTTCATTTTCTCCAAGGAGACAAATTACACCTTAAAGATCATGCACAAAATATCTCAAGACTGTCCGTGGCATATTGTTGAGAATCCCTCCTGTGTCACTTACTGTCGAGAAGGGCCACCTCAGGCTTGATGGAGGCAGTCTTCATCAGGGGGCCCATCACCACAGGCAGGTACTGCTGGAACTCTTTCCCCAGGATCTTACACATCCTGGCCCAGGCTGAGATCATGTACGAGATCTGAACCACAAACAAAGCATGACAGGTTGAAACCAGAACAGAAACCTAATGTCACGAACTGGATGGTTCTAGGCGAAGTGACGTTTTCCTACCTGAGGATCGTCGTCCTCCAGGTCATTGAAGTCTGTCTGGGTTTTGAGGAGCAACTGCATGACGGCAGAGGCGTCAGGCATGAACTGGAACAGGACAGAGGGAACATGTTAATGTCTGAAGCCTCAATGTGCAAGGAATGAAGATCTCGCATCATGTTCAAGACTTACCTTCTCCTTGCCGACAGCCAGACCGATGAGACTGATGCACTCGATGGTCTTTCCACGAAGCAGCCGGAGCTCCTTCTGCACAGCGTTTTCTACTATGTGTTTGAGCGAGGGCATGAACAGGTCGTAATATGGCACAAACTTCTCCTCAGCAGTGTCGGCTACGGAGGCGATGGACGTCACCACCTGCTCCAGGACCAGTTTTGTACCCTTCTGGATCAGCTGGGGAAAGAAAAAAAACACATTAACGACTCCTGACAGCCAACAACAAGAAGACATACTAAATGGAAATGCGTTAACATTTATTGTACCTCCTGCAGTTTGGCAACCATGATGACGTGAAGGTGCTGCACCAAGCTGTCCAGATAAGGGATGAGCAGTGATTTGGGGCAGTCCTCTGTGAAGTTGATGAGAGCGGCAGCAGCATGTGCCTGCACTCGAGGGTTACTCTGGTCCTCCATGGTCTGAAGCAGGGCTGAGATCACCTAGAGGGGAAAAAAAAAGAAAAAAAGAGGATGTACAATCAGACGTTTGTAATTCTATACATTGTTTCTCTTCTCTTGCATTAGACTGACCAGTTGTACCTATTAAACTGTAAACTATGTCTACTTGATGGTATTCTCTCACATCAGAATCTGATCAGCTGTAGAGTCAAGCGAAATCTGCTACTTGTCTGACATCAAAAAGTAAGAAAGTGATTAATTTCAGGTACCTTATCGTGGAACTTCTTTTGAAAGGTTGGGGCGAAGTCTGTGGCCATCTGTCCAATAGCATTGCAGGCAGCATAGCGTACTCTGGGGTGCTGGGAAGGGAAAAGGAAGTCAAACTACCATACAAGACAGTCCAAGCAGTAGTCCTGTAACGTCACAAGATGCTCTCCAATGTCACCATTAACCCAGCAGGGCAAAGTTATGTCACCTGAGCTCCTATACATTTATCATGTGCTGTATATTTCTGTAACAACTGTTCTGTATCTTACAGGGTCGGAGCAGAAGAGGAGCACGAAGCTGACGATCTCTTGGAGGATGGCCTCCATCTGCTGGTGGCAGCCCTCGCCGATGGCCGACAGCGCCATGAGCCCGGCGTGGCGGTACTTCCAGTCAGCTGGCAACAAACGACAGACGGTTCACGTGACTAAATGCGAGTGCTTCACAACTCCTGCAGTTATTTATGTTTTTGCATAAAATATAATAAAAGCTAGACTTAATATTCACAAGTTTACACATGTTGAAGATTTCAAAAATGGATCTTTAGACCCTCAGAAGGAGCTGATGTCACACGATTTAAATAGCTAAACACCCATCAGGAGGGATACTTACGGTTCTGCAGCATCTGCATGATATGTTGCTTGATCATGGGCAGAATGATCTTTCCTCCCAGACCACAGGCGATTCTGTCAAGAGCACTCTCTCCAGCCACAGCATTACTGGTGGGGCACAAAACACATGACTCAGAAACAAGCTTGTAAAATCATTTGAACACTTGGGAGGAAATTTCATCCTGCAGATCCCAGATTGTCCCACTGGTCAAATTTGGAGCAGACATTGTTTTTTTTGTCTTGATGGTTATGCACCAGGTCATACCTGTCAAAGTCATCGTCCTCCAGCTCATCAGCCATGGCCCACTCATCATCGTCCTCGAGGTCCACCATCATAGCCAGCATCTGGGGCACTGCAAACGCAACACAAATACTATTTCTAAACTAGTGTACTCAACCTCTCTGGGTGGCCTAAAACAAGTGGGACAACAGTTAGGTGATATTGAACAAATCCTCACCGCTTTGAGCTACAATAGCCGTGTGTTTCCTCAGCATGGCTGCTGCTGTCTCAGACAAGGTGACGATGACTTCCAATGCCAACTGCCTTTGCATATTTGTCAGGTTTGTGTCAGCACACAACTGAGGAGACAGGACAATTTTGTGGGTCAGTTGTTGCAAATAGATTTTACAATCGACAAACACACGTCATTAAGACTTCAGGCCTCATTTTGTGGTGAATATCGACGGTGGTAAAGTGATATTTGGAATCAGAACTTACCTTCAGACAGAGCTGCAGCGTCGCCTCCAGGTTGGGTCTCAGGTATTTGGGTGCTGTGTCTGCAATCTCCACTAAAGACTTGAGCACGGAGTCGTCTGCCTGGTAGCATGATTCATTCACAGCCTGATAAAACACACACAGGTTAGTGCTGCGAATAGCAAACTGCTAATCCTGAATCTATACTACTTCTGCAATGTGACCTCCCCTCCCACCTACATGAGTCAAAGACACAATATACTCACTGTTGCAAAAGGAGGCATGACTAAAGGATTCAGGAGGTCAAGTATTTCAACATGATCGACATGGATGCCTTACTATCTAGTAGTGAGAAACATGTTAACTTAAGTTGAATAATTACTGCATTGCGCAACAGCTATCACTTCTGTCAGCTGTTTGCTCTTTGACTGTGCACGATTTTAACAACTTCCTTATTTTTTCTTCAGTGCAAACACCGTCATCACTGAGCCTAACAAGGGATGAGAAGACCCAACATGCCTCTCAGTAAAGAAAACAAACTGTAAGTAGGCACGGCAGCTCGTACTTTTGAAGTTCCACCCTTCACTTTTGGACAGCTTCCTCATTTACTTTTACACTGGGTTTAATGTAGTCATGAACACAGCAAGGGGAGAATCCAGGCCCACACAAAAGAGCTCTGTTGGTCCAAGTAACTCAGCAGGTGGTATTCTTTACACAGATCCATTACTGTATGACCTGAACTGGCATTAGCTAATGTGTGCATATCAAACCACATGGGAAATCCAACATTAAACTTGAATTAATGGACCGTGAATGACTAGCATAACAGCTTTCTCTGACTGCTGAAAAGCCATTACAAAGGCATCATGCAAAAAAAAAAAAAAAAAAAGTGGGAATTCGATGTGCTAATGTACAAAAGGATTTAATGTTCAGAGCCAGCTCAGATAATTCAGACACTGAGGTGCTGGTATCTTACCTGCAGAATGCCAGGCAGCAGGTCTGCAAAGTGCTTCAGCAGAGCTGTGTTGCTTTCGTTGGACAGAACAAAGGATGCTGCAGCCCGAGCTGCCAGGGTACGAATCTGGGAAAAGTAAAGTAAAAAAAAAAAAGAAAATTGTTACTGCATTGTGGATTCAGATGATAGTGAAACTGAGAGAGAGAGAGAGAGAGAGAGAGAGAGAGGTGCATGACAGGGAGCAGAGGTCCCCACCCATATAAAAACCATCATAGTTATGAGTCATGTGCTGCTAACTATTAAGCTGCCAGGGCACTCCCAGTCATAGAGCTGTACCTGGGGGTTTTCCTGGTCCTGCATGCACTGAACAAGCATACGCTTGATAACCTCCATGTAGTGTTGCTGCTGGTTGCCGAAGATTCCTGGGAAGTTCCTAGAAGACAGACAAGACACACGTCAGGTCAGCCACCAGTACATCTACCTGATTATACGAGTAGTTTCACTTCATGGTGTAACTGGAGCTCACCAAAATATGTGCAGGGCAGCTTCTCGCAGACCAACATTGTCAGAGTTCACAGAGTCAAACAGAAACTTGAGCACCTCTGGCCACTGGTTGTTTCCATCATCATCTACAATAAAGAATCAAAGATTACTCATGTTAATCTGATGAGTAATAAACTACTTTGACAATCTAAACTGTCAGCACTAACGAAAAAAACAACAGTATCTAACCTAGTAACAAGTGATAATGTCCTCTCATAACTTATCACAGTCCTATGCATAAACCATGAGAACACAGGACATACAATAATGAAGAAATTAATAGTCTACTATCTTAAGAATTTTAAGATTTTGTAAATGAACCGAAGGCAATCATACCGATGAGGTTGCGGGAGAGCTCGGCTGCAATGTCGCAGACCTTCTTGCGGATGTTTGGCGAGGTTTCCTGTTGGATGCTGGTCAGCAGCTCTGTCTTGATGGCTGTCTGCATCTCTAGGGTCAGGCCTGGATAGATCTCCTCGAAGGACGATGACAGCAGCCGCCGCAGCAGCACTGCCGCCATCTGTTTGACCTGAGGGGACAAAGTGCTGGTTTCAACACGATGCCTCAACATCTATGGCTAGAACCACATTAGCCACTGGACACGAAACTGTTGGCTTTTAAAATCTAATCTATTTTGACAGTTTACAATCTACATAATACTCAACAACAAGTGTAATAGAACAAACAGAATGCTTGCTGCTGCCAAAACATGTATAGGAAGTTTGGTGAACTGGAATCTTAATGGTCACCCAAAAAAACTAAAACCACACAGACAAAACCTGCAGCATCTCAGAAAGGCAGAGTCACTCTCTCTGGACCAAGCACCTCTCTGCCTGCTCCCATTTCAAGACTCTAAAAATATCAGCCTTGAGGTAAAGAAAAGGAGAGGAAGCATGAGGGACCAAGCAGCTGGTGGATTCAGAGTAAACATAAGTGCCCAAATGCCAAAAGTATGACGGGCTGTGTTGAAGGCCTGCATGTGATGACAGGATGACATTCTTAAAATGCCGTCAAAGTTGCACCTTTTTAAAGTGAGCTGGTAATGCAGACTCATTGTTAATGGAAATGCAACCTTTGCGGGGATAATACCGTCTGATTGGTCTGGTAAACTTCTATATGGAGACATTTAAAAACAAACTGAAAAAATAGAGAAAATTTCAGCAAACGGTACATTAGAGCCCACTGAGGTTTTCCTGTGCTTCACATGAGGAAAAAAATAAGCATGTCATGCCACAATTATGTCAGCGTTGAGTGTACAAACCTCCTCTGCAGCAGATGCATCTCTGACGGCCTGCAGCAAGAATGTGATCTTGTTCTGGCCCGGGATGGTGTCATAGGTCTCCTGCAGACAAAACGAACGCACAGTGGAATCAAACGTTTTAGCCATTTGAAAAATGGACCCTTTACCAGTGAGACAGCTCCATGTTCCTTTTTATAGTCGTCACAGAGAAATGGCATTTTAAACATGCCTGCAATTCCACACTATGGCACATTACAGGCCGGAGCAGATGTTGTGGTTTGACAAATTGCAAGGACGACTGTTCAGCGATGCTCGTAATTTCATTAATCTTCGCCATTCAAAAGTCTATTTAATTTTTACTGGGGTGTTTAATGATTTGTCTGTAAAATAAGCCTTCAAAAGCCTGGACTGGAAATCAGTTTTCCCCCTAAGGCCAAAAAATGAATTGAGTCATAAAAGCGGGAGACTTTTGCATGTTTATGATAAAAATGATTTAGACTCTGAAGTGGGAGTCTGTGATTTGGGGTTTTGTTTTAATCCTACACTCCTTAATCAAGCTTTTTGATCCACTCTGCTGAGCTGAAATGTCTATTAGTGTGAAAAAATGTTTGAGGAAGTAGGGAGCAACCAAAATAATTGGTCAGTTTGGTGTCACTCACCAACTCCTTGTCTCGATATCTAGATTTTCGGATTAAAAATGTAGGAAAGCAAGACTAGAAGAAGAAATGATACCACTGAGTTCCTATTGCAGCATAAATATTTCCCCTTTTTTCCCCTTTAGTAGCCGTCTTTTCTTTTCCCACATCATGGGATTTGTTCCTCCCGAAGTGGGAAATTTAACTTGAACAAGGCTGGTTGTTCTAATATTTGTCTCGGTCTCTGCTGTTGTTCAACTGGTTCATTAAAGTCGAAAGAAAAAAAAAATGCAAACACAGGAGGCTCTATGGAGATGCAACCTTGGGTGTGTGCTCTAAGGAAAATATCAGACGATCATGTGGACACAGTTGTAAACAAACATCTGTTATCAGACAAAGGCAGTGAGAGAAACTGGAAACAAAGCTGGAGATCAGCTTCAAGAGAAACACAATTGCATGAAAGTCAGACATCAGTGGGTGTCGTCGGCGCGAACACATTCGCATAACAAAAAATAAGGGCAGGGAGGAGCATCACTGTGGCAACACTATGGTGGGTAGAAATCAGATAACACCCTAAACACTGACTTAAGAAACTTTAAGTTCAGGTTGTACACAACTTAGAGACACGCCTTCCTCTCGCCATGTCTTAAACAGGGTTAACTAGGGACACCTACAAAACGCTCAGCAGCTGTAGTCTGCAGCTGGGGTTAGGTCCTTTACAGATGGATCAATTCCCATTATGTGTGTAAGACAGAATGGGAGAGTTTCTATAAAGGATGAATTCCAATGAGCTTAGCATCGCGGCAGACAGTCTGTCTTTGATAAAGAGAAACGCTGACTGCTGGTGAGGGGGGGAGTGTGATAAGATTCAACTACCTCATCCAAAAGTCGGACGCTGAAGAGGGCAACTGTGGTAACAATGCTTTGCCGCGGCAGGAGACTAATCACGGTGGGGGTAAAAAAAAAAAAAAAAGTGAATAGGCCAGCTAGACGCAGCCCAAACAAATCCTCTGAGAGAAACTAATCCAGTGAGAGGGGATGACCAGAGACGAGCCTCTGTAGTGACGTGTCTGAAACTGAGTTAATCAGCTCCATGAGTAACATTTAAACCAAAGTGAGAAGAGAGCAGCGTGTTTAAAACTGTTGTATTATTCTGAGTTTCAGTTAAACCCAGGGAAGGCCATGGCACAAGTACCACCAACACAGCTCGCCCTTTGAATGAACTGGCTCGCTAACTCCATCTATAACGAATCCCGCTGCGGTTTTGCTGTCTATCGGCTCCCCAATAACGCAGCATGTTTGTCCACAATTAATTCCTGAATTCCCGCGTTTGATCTTTCAAAAAAAGCCACTATGTTTAGCGCTAGCCTGCTAGCTAACAAAACTAGCAACACTGTTGTAGCTACTTAGCTTCGTGCTACAGATGACTAGCTCCACTGTCAGCTGGGGGATTTTCAGATTGGTACCCGACAAACTGATCATTTCACTTTCACTTAGACAGCCCGAGCTTCACGCAGACACACACACGACCTCGCAGTGTCACGACAAGACTCGTATCTGTGAGATCTGTCTTATGTCCACATAACTACGCAACATGGTGGAGGTAGTCAGCGCTAGCCGACTAGTTCTCGGTGTCAGCTTCACATCGCACGTGGGCTACCGAGCCTGACGTGAGAGCTCACTGCGCGCGGCCAGGCAGGACAGCTAGGCGGCTAGCTCCGGCTAACCTGGCCGCTCCGCTTTCTACAGGCGCCCAACTTGTCAGCGGGCAAAACAGCCAAGTTTTCCGCTCTTACCTCCGCTTGTTTCCTGACGCTGTTGTCAGGGCTCATCAGGTTGCCCAGCAAGAGGTAGAACTGCTGCTGTTCCGCCATTGCAGTGAGATCCAAAAAGACCAGCCGGGTGGAGAAGCGGCGAAATGAACCCGGCAGACCCTGCTTCGGTCACACAATGCTGCCCGCGTCCCATTGGCTAGCTTTATCAACTCTACTCACAGGTCATTGGACCAGAGGCCTTGAGCGGACGCACGCCGTTGGCTGATGTGGACTCTCGGCTCCTATTGGATGGAATCGACACAGGAAAGGGACTGCATTGTTCCCATTAGCTAATAGTGAATTACTAAAGCGCGGGAGATTATTACATCAACGCTAAGAAAATGGAAACAACAAGCAGTGCATTGCAGGTGCTCATATGTGTTTATTGTGGTGAACGGTAACGAAGTATATTTACTCGAGTACTCTGCGTAATACAATTTTGAGGCCCTTGTACTTGAGTATTTCCATTCTGTGCCACTTTAGACTTTCACTTTACTTCATTTCAAAGGAAAGTGATGTATTTTCCACTACATTTGACAGCTTTAATGAGTAGAAACTTGGCATAAAAACATTATTATTAAATATGCCATTGCTACAGATTCAACTACACATATACTTAACAGTGTTTTCAAGTAATTTACTTCAGTACTTTAAGTACATTTTGCTGCTCATGTGTGTTTTGAATAAAGTATTTCAACTTGTAATGCAGTATTTTCACACCAGAGTATTGGTAATTTTGCATAAGTAAATACCAGCACTGTATAATGTGAAATGACCTGTAAAGTGTTCGGGTTGGGGCTGGGGCTTAGATTTCTTTATGTAGTGGTGTTGCTCTCAGGTAATAATATGAACATACTTGTTGAATTTATTCACTGCATTGTTATATATTGAGTACGTCCTATATTCCAACACAGGTGTCTGTTTGCTGTTTTAGCCCTTCAGACATGATCACACCATGTTTTGTTTTGGTGTGGAGGTGCACAACACATTTCACTGCACGTTATAGCATGTATGACTGTGTTTGTGACCAATAAAGGCCTTGAATCCCTAAATCCTATTTCTTTTCAGTTTTTGCATGCAGTGTTACATGGTAATGTCATGCCATGTGCATTTTTTAAGGGTAATTATTCAGATTGAAATCTGTACAAACTGTACAAATGTTGTCAGGAGAAGTTGTCAGGAGATTCAGTGTAGTTTTGAAGTCAATGACAGTAGTTATCTTATCACTGGGCTAAAAAAATAAAATAAAATCATCACAGATAATATCATCTGAAGGAGAAAATTACAGATAAAACTAACCTGTTTGACTGTACTGTGGTAAAAGGAAGACACACTCAAAACACCACAGTGTACCCCAAATTATACAGAAATAAAAGTCAAAGAATAAAAAACAACTGTGCAACACAGCACACAGTTTTGATTTTTTAAAAATACGTATATACATTTTACATCATTACAAGTATATGTTGAATTTACTTCTGATTTTTTTTACATTTATTTTTTAATTTAAGGGCTTTTCATTTTGTAGCTGTTAAATTTTAAAAGAAATGGGAGAGTGGATGCTAAAAAAAAAAACACCTAATGGAAGCTCTGATGATCCTAACTTTAATTGAACAAAAACAAAAGTTCAAACATGTGTCTTTAGAAATAATAGGATCTTGTCTATAATGCAAGCTAGTGTTCTTTATAGCTATATATATGTTTAATTTGATTTAAATAAAAAACGTGTGCTCATTACCTACAGTGGGATGTGCTGCACATCCCCCACTAGATGGCAGCAAAGCTTTGTTAAGTGATTTCTGTCATGCATTTTTCTCAATGAAACCATCTCACCTGTGCCAATGAAATCATACTGACATCAGATATAGATAAGCTCTTCGTAAAATAAACAGATTGTTCTGATTCAAAAGTCATTTTATTAGAACTTCTTCTGTTTCAGTGTGTCATTTGTCATCATAGCTTGTAACAAATATATTTTTTAAAGGATTGAACAGTATCTATGATCCGCATTAACGAAGATTATTGTCAAAATGTCACACACTGACACCAGCTACTGACTTTCGGAGCTTAATGGAGGAATAAACGCCAGAAACAGGGCCAAACCAAATAAACAGACTATTTTAAAAGAAAAACAAAAACTTTTGGTTATTATTCCGACCAATGTGAAAACTGAGACTTTTTTATTATGGCTGCTTTTATTCCATATAAATAAAACTCGTGCTCTAAAAGCCATTTCCACAGACTTTATAGCCCATGTGGTCCTGTGTGTCTTGACAGCACCCCTACTGGTGTGAGTTCCTCCTATAACTTGGAGCCGCTCTGTGGGCTGCAGCAGTCCGCAGCTGTGGACATCAGGCTGCTGCCAACCTGCTCCGGCTGTCCTCAACTTCACTCAACGGGGATCCAGGCATGGCTGAAGTGTGAAAGGTAAGCCCCTTTTTTAATTGTTTAGATGCATTAACTTTATTGCACGGACGAGTGAATGCAATCCATTACCCAATTCGTCGCTCTTTGTTCCATTGAGCCGCCGTGCTGGAAAAACTCACGCCGAACTCCATTCAAAAAATCAAGTTTTATTGTTGTCGCGCTTCCTGAAAAGCACATTTCAACTCGAAACGTTTAGGAAACTTGTAGTTAGGGTCCAACCTCCCATTCGGCGCTATGTTTGAACTCGAGTAAACATTTTTTATTTGACATCCAATGCTGGAACTAAGTACTGACACATTTTAAAAGTTTGTTCAAACAAAATGCTTCTCTTGTTAATGTTGGTCAACAATAGGTGACTTTATTTATTTAGTGTTGTCGGTTTGACAAATATCCGTTTTAACCTCCTTTGTGATCAGATGTCCAATGCAGTTGAGCTACAACACATTGCAACCAGGCCTGTCTCTAGTTTTTTGGGGGGCCTTGTGCAATATATTGTTTGGGCCCCTTCCCTATTTCTAATGCTCATGAATCTGCATTATACACATTAGCAAGATCAAATGCTACTCTTTACATACAAATCATAAAACACTAACCAACACAATACTCTTTCTGGTTTCATAAATATAAGCAATGAAAGCCAAAAATATCCAGAGTGACAACACCCTCGATCACAGCTATATGCTTATTGGTGTGAAAAGGAGAAAAGTGAGGCAGGAGCAGAGCCTGAAACTAACTCACAGAGCCATTATATGGAGAGCGTAGACAATCATTGGCCCCACCAAGAATCAAACCCTTAAAGTTAACAGTGTGACACTTTAACCAGCTGAGCAGCACAGCCATTACTGTGACTCTAACAGAACAGAGTGATCAGATGCCTTGCACGCAGCGTGACAGTCCAGGACTTTATTTATACTCAAGGGGGAAAAATACATGTTAGTGCAGCTTGGCCCCTTGGTGATCACAGGTGTATTATATGTTTTATAGCAAAAAAAAAAAAAGGCTCTTGTTGCAAGGAAGAAGGTGATGGATGCGAGTCGGCATGGCACGGCTGTACAGGAGTTAAGACTGCTGCTTCACATTTGGGCAGCAGAGTTTGCAGCTGCCTGTAGATGTGATATAGACTGAATGAGCTCGGTCCACTAACCTGCAACCCAGACAACAGTTGATTTTTTACATAAGCAGCTGCCAAATGACTGAAGACAACTTCAAAGCACATTCAGTACAACATTTCCTGCGTTGCATGATTTACTTGGTCCGTTGTGTAGCACCATCTTGGCTGAAAAGTACGCTTTTTAACACCTACAGTCTAAAAAGTAAGTGATTAAATGCGTTGTTGCAAGATTAAATAATCCAGTTTACCATTCCGGACAAAGTGGGAAACGATGTTTTGATGGATAATGTTGACGTTAAAATGTTTCAACTCAGTATTGTGCTTGATTTTAAACAACATTTTCTGTATTAGTTGATTCAAACTCAAGCTGAGGTAACCTAATGAAACAGACTTGATAAGCTTTGTTCACCTTGAGGTCAGGATTTCGAGTTGCGTCTTCTATCTTATCATGTCTGGGCAATTTCCATTAATGTAGTTCATTCGAAGTTGTGTTAACCCAAGAAGGCTGCGTTAGTTTTTTATATTGAGCCCAAACAAGTGCGACTAGAAACATGGTCAGTACATTTTTTGCTCCCTGTAACACATCTGTTTAGGTTTGACTCCCACCGCAGTATATGCAGCATCTGATACACAACATCATGACAACTCCAATGAGAATTTTAATATAATATTCAAGCTCCAGCCTGCAAAAGGTGAGAAAAACTCTTTTTAGCAGATGTCTCAATGACATCCCACCTTGTTATTGTCTCCATTACTGTTGTTGGAAGCTGCTTCCATCTTATCCATGTGACACAACCCGACACTATATTTTTTTTCCCAGACAAACAAATTAAAAGATCAGACCGTTATTTACGAAATATCCGACATTCATCACTTAACTGACAAACGAGAAGTTGTTTCCTCTGCTCGTAATTACCGCTGGTTTCATTTCGGAGGTAATTCATCACGACGTCATGTCTGCTTTTAGGTTTGTCAGTTATGTTATTATTCACACCACAGTGGAGTAAATGGAAGCCCAGCGGCTGAGGGGAAAAAGGCAAAAAGGTTGAAAATTAGCTGTGAAAATTAGTCACGGGGACATTAGCCGGGGACATATGATGTGAGAAATATCAAATGTGTTTCATGCTGTTTATCAGTCAGGATAGATAAGATAGATAGATGCAAGGTTGAAGAGATAGAATAGAATAAGGTGTGAAAAATGCTTGTATTTACAGTAAAATCTAGTTTTAGAGAAGAACAAAAAGGCACTAGGAAAAGAGAACAAGTATGAAGTTATATAGGAGGGCTGAGGGGAAGGAGTCCTGGTGGGCCGGGGTCAAAGACATTATTGTACAGTAGTTCCAGGTAGTGTTTTATTTTCCACCACCTTGTTAGCATCAGCTTAAAAATCTTAATGGAAACAGAGCAGCTAAGAGCCCTCGCTGCCTGCAACAGCACCTACTGCTGTGAATGTATAAGCCCCTAAATGGAAGTGGCATTAAATCATTAAACTGGACGCCTGAATGTGTTACCCACAGACCTCCACAGTTTCACATGAGGTCAGGGCCGAAGTGGAAAAGGAGGAAAAAAGAGCGAGTTATAGCGCCGA